AGTGTTCATCAGGCACGGGCACAGAGAGGGCTCAACCTGTGCACGTGCCTGCTCACATGCCCTTTTTGTCCTTACACTCCGAAGTGCCCTTTTTTTTTAGTTTTTTTTTTGTTCTTCTTCAATAAATCAATGCTATTGGTCACCCTTTACGTCTGTCTGTCTGTTTTACAAATATATTAGCGAATGAAAGGTATTAAAAAGAGTTACCTTTGCTAAATCTTGTTGGATCCGCTCAAACTGTCAGTCAAACCTCATAACTCCGCCCCCTGTCTTGACTGACTGAGTGCAGTGAACTGAAGTTCCACAGCAGAGCAGCTGAACGTCTTGCAAGGGTAAATAAATATCTTCTTGTTTGTATAAGTACAGCGTTGTCTTTACGCAAGAAACACTAGTATGTCTACTGTATAAAGGCTCATGTTTTATGCATTTGAGGTCTGAGACCGGACCTGCGGAGAGAGGGCATTTGCCATCTAAATTAGTCATAGCCAATAGCCTACACTTAAATAGCATTTGCATACAGTAGCATTTCATCTTTTATAAAATGACATTTTGGCCAAATGTATTTTACAACAGGAAAAACTGAGCGCCCATATAGCTACAACAAACTTTGTAACCTGTTGATCAAAACGTAATGTGATGATTAAATGATGCCGTTTTAATGATGGACAAGTTGCACATTTGCACACACATTCGCTGGTCAAAAACCCGGCCATAACTGCATTTGAGTTTGACACAAAGCTACTGAGTGTTCCTTGTCAGCTAGGTAAAATATATTTCTAAGAAAATTTAACATTTAATCATATTATATATGGTCACACTCACAGCATGGTTAATGTTTACGATGTTAATATGCATGTATTTGCTAGCTAGCTAATTTTTGAATGTAGTATTCTATACTCTCCGCTTATCATTAAGATGTGACCAGTAAAAAAAGGGGGGTGCCCTTTTTCAGTTTCAGCACATGCCCCTCAAAAGGTCTGTGCACGGCCCTGCTTGCTGTCTGTCTTAGGAACAAAATGCGTACTGTCGTTACATGACACTGCAACATGATATCCTTGGACTCCATCCGTTGGGACTCAGGTTGTACTCAGCAATTTGGCAATTTTGCATATTTTAATACTTTAGTACTATGAAGTATTAAATACTATCTATATATATATATATATATATATATATATATACCATCCCACATTTTCCATCTCTCAGTCTCTCTTTTTCACTCTACTCATTCTCTTTTTCAGTGCTGCTCCCTCGACCCCTGTCCCCTCTGGCCTGTTGTTATTTGCCGGCTGTATGAAAATTGTAATGCACTTCCAAAATGGAGTGAAAGCAGCCCTTTAGGTCCCCCAAGCCTTTTTCGCCAGTAATACATTGCATTTGCCTCCACCAAACTACCATATATTTTCTCCACCCTTAACCTCGTATGCATTTCCTCCATGGCTTTGTTTGGTCCCTCTACTCGTATTGCAAACACACAGGCATTATTGCTATAAATAGCCTATTTTATTAATAGCATTATTGCTATTAATAGCAAAGCTATTTTTTTTTAGTTTTTATAATTAACAAAAAGGGGTG